GGGTTTCTGGAGATGTTTTGAGTTTGAAGTAAAATCCAGACATCTCCATCCATTCCTGGGTGGATGGATGGAGATCCTAATCCTTCAGGAAGGAGAAAAAAACGAACGTTTAGGCCTGTTTCACTGGAACCTTATATGGCACATTTAATATGAGCTGCAGAGCTTCCCTGCATGATAGAGCTCCTCGTTTTATCAGCAAACAAGACCAAGAAGCTTTGACAGAGCTCATATGCAGGAGCTGACTATGATCATTTATGTGGGTTTATGCACAATGGATTTGTAAAGCTTTCATCTCAGGTTTCTTTTTTATGATGCACTGGACCATTGCCCCCATTTTACAGATAAAGCCCTAGTCCTTCTCCATGTTTTCATTATTCATACCCAAGACAAGATACTTAATTAATTTATTTTTTTTGTGTTAGATGAGCGATGGCTTCTTCTTCGTTGAGTGGCATTTTAGCCCACTCTGGTACAGGCTTTGAATAAAGACTCCTCAGCCAACTTAGTCACAAGGTCCTCTTCTTTTGTTCCAGGCTTCATATATTTTCCTGGACCACACACTCCAAGGAGAATATTCATATTTTTTGTTTTTAAAAACAGTAAAAGAGTCAAACAAATCAGACCTGACTCAGCATAAATGTTTTGAGGCAGGTCCTTGTTCTACAGAACATTAAAAAAAAACATATATTTTAACATCATACTAATTTATACAGCAAATAACCCAAATGTACCAATAATCACACTATTTCAGAGAAATCTTTACATGAACTATGCTCTCAGGCAATCCTATGAGAATTCAATGCCTTTGAGTCTTTTCACTTTTATTTGAACAAAAATCATTTTTTACAAGCATCTTTTAGATGAAGAACTTGTTAAATTGTTGTTGGGATAAGCTTTGATCCACTTTTAGGACAGTGGATGTATCTATGTCCATTATCACTCTCTTACATCTTTTTATAATCTATGTAAATAACTTGGGAAGAATTCCATTTCCTGCCTTACTTCCTTACTAATTCCCACCTGCTCAGCCCTCCTCCTGTTCTGTATCCTTGTTTTCAGGTTTTACAGATACCACTAACCGACCTTTCCATCAATGACACTCTACCTCACTCTTTCATTCAGAAATACCTGCATTGAATGTAGGGTAAGTTGGGGCGGGGACATGGGGAGCTTTTTGTAATGCAATAGATCAAAAAGGGAAAAAAAGATGCCTATCTGTCCTGATAAACTGCATTGAAGAGCAGCTGAAAAAATGTAAAAGATGAACAACTGATTTATGTTTCTGTATTCACGTTTTCCAGGTTCGTGCCACCTCCTACAACCAGTTCACTCTCTGCATCCTGCTTGTCCAAAGATTAGCTCATACACCAGACAAGGTGCCAAAGCCCAGAATCCCTGAGGCTTCATTCCCCACCCTTCCCCTCTCTCTGCCCCAAACACTTCTCCCACTCATCAGTGTGGGCACTGCCACTCTCAGAGACACGCTCTCCCAGTATATACGCCCACGCCCTGCTCACAAATAAACATAATAACAAGTATGCAGACAGGGGATATTCGGCAGCAGACTGACTAATGCATACGTTTAAATGCTTTATTTGATTACTCCTCACTCACACACTTACAGAAGCACTCTCTGCTCTGAAATATTACAGCATGCTGCCTGATTATGAAAGGAGGCCCCTTTAACTACACCAGTACAGTTGTTCTGCCCATCCTGATCTATAGACCCATGCTCAGATGCTGACAGGGTGTCATAGCTCCACTTGTCTTTCAGGTATCTTAATTTATTTTAAATAGGACGCTGCTGTGATGTGGTACTTTGGTTTCTTTTAAAGTCTATGTTTCTTGTACATCAACATAGAGACATGTTTCCAGTCTTGGTACAAAGCCGCACTTGTTTCCAGTACTTCCCAGAACGCTTGTGAACGATGCTGTTGTGGGGGTTCCTGTATGAGATCTGAAGGTGTAGTCCACATCGTTCCTGGTGGTGTTTAGGCATGACTTCAAGGATTCACTGGAGCGGTTTGGAGCCATGTGTGGAAATGAAAGGAAGTTAGACAATAGATTGGGGTCTTGTTTGGAGTAATGCGGTAGCTACTCTGGTGTGCAGATGGATTCAAGTGTTTATTTCTTCCTTTGTGCTGCTGTTTGTTTTTTTCATCTAATTTAGTATATTTTCACCTGATCGTTTTGCCATATCAAGCTAGATATCTATTTTACATCACATTCTTTTTGTTTTAAACATTTGTGCAAGATCTATTTAATGTCCTTAATGTCCGTTTTGCTCTCTTTAGGTGCAGGAGATTAATGTGTTGTCTATTCAACATCCAAAAGCCTTATAAACCTTTAAAGTATGGGTAAGACAGCTATATTAGTGTATCTCTGTTTTGCTCAGATTATTCATTTTCTGTCTAAAATCCAAGCAGACAATGGTGAGATGGTACTCCCCACTAATCCGAACACAAACCTCCTACCCTACTGCACTCTGTACCACCAAGGCTCTGTCATCTCTCCTCTCCATCATCACAAGAGCCTTCCAGCAGAGAAATATCTGCAGTGCAGCGTAGAGTCAGCCTTTACAGCATCTTCATCACTTCATTAAGTCTCCTTCAGTATTTCCTCTTACAGGTATGTGTGGATTTGTGGGAAATGGAGGAAAAATGTGGGCTCAATCGTCAACTAGGTTATGAAACCAGCACTGGTACCCCAGGCTGTTGCTATTTGTGGATTCTGCAGAGAATATGTGTGGGATCTGCTGCCACCTGCTGGCTGATGGGAGTGTGGTCCAATTACATAAAACAGAGGCTGTGTGAGTCATCATCCCCCCTGTTGAGGACAGATGGAGGTGTGTGTGGTGTTTGTGTGTGGGACTGGGTGGAGGAAAACAGCGGTGGACTCTTAAATAAGGGCTTCCCCCTCTCTCCCTCTCTTGCTTTTGCACTTTCTGTTGATTTCTTTTTTTTTTATCTCCTTCTGTGGGCCAGAAGCTTCTGGCTCTGCTGGGAAATATTCTGAGAGTAAAAATAGAACAACAGATCTTAACAATGTGTAAATGTTTAATCATATCTACAGCAATAATATCTATAATGTAACCCTCAGAATATTCAACCTGACTCTGAAGCACATTTTAGACCATTTGTGACGAAGCAAAGAGATGATATTGATGGGAAATATCAGACTGCAGCTGAAGACATGGCAGTTCAGGAATCCTGGAGATTGTTTGACAAGAGCCTGGTTGGAGGTGACGATGAGGGGGCATTTTAGTTTATGGAAGTGTGTATCTTCCTGTCTGGCCATTAAAAGCAAAGAAAATAATCTAAATGGATGCTTGTTACAGCTAATATGAATGATAGCAATGGTTGGGCTTCTGCTATTTGCTTGTGCCATTCAAGTAAGTTACCTAATAGTGCTGTATGTTAGATAACATTAGACAATCTCCAGAAACTGATATGTTTTGGATAAATTAAATAACTTCTTAGACAAAGAAGGCTGTTGAGCCAATGGATCTATTACATATTTCTTGTAAAATAAACCTTTTGGCATTGTCTTTGTTTATTGCACCTACAGTATTGTGCATAAGTCTTGGGTCATTACTCTTCTCTTCATATGTTGTTTCCAAACAGACAGATTTGTCCACTTGTTTTTCAGTCATAGACTATATTGCATACCTGAATATATTAAAAGGAATATGTGTATTTATTTGGTTTGACCTACTAAACCCAACCTCAGTTTGAGGTGGTGTTGTGTTGGACGTCTCATCTGCAAAGGTTATACTGACGCCTTACTTTATGCTGTGATCACACCTTTCTTCCGTTCTCTTTACCCTTTTCTAGATTAGGTCACTGGCCAAATGTGTTAATTAAGGTAACCTTTCAGTTATTTCTCCAGTGGTGTATTTTAGCTCATTGTGAGTGGTTAAAGAAATATGTATTTCCTACAGGTTCTCCTGTCTGTTGGAACTGCCTGAGTAACCTCTGCTAAGGGAGCAGCCGCTGTACTTTAACCTTTGTTGTGGTCTGTACAGTATGAGTCCATTTAGCGGACATTATTTAGAATGATGATGTTGATTGTGGACTATTTCAAGTGTCTTGGCACCATTTTTGTCTTAGTTAAACTTTGACGCAACACAGACCAGCAGTCAACACAAGATCTATCTATTGTACAGGATCTTTGTCTTTAATCTAAATAATCATCAACATTTTATCAAAATAGTTTTATTATCTATAATAAATAAGTTGGTATTTGGATGGTAAATGTTTGCTCCAGGAACACTGGGGTGCAGCAGAGGGAATTAGACACTTTCTGTACCAAACATGAGGCAAAGAAAATAATAATAAGACATTGTCTAAAAGGAATTTGTCCGGTTATCATCAAGCTGATGCAATACTGTAGACAAGGACTACTAATATTAGAGATGACTAATACTTGAGCGGAAAAACAAGATTTGTTATGTTATTTTTTTATTCTTTGCCAAAATTGTTCAAACCTGTTGAATATATTTCATAAAAAAATTCTGGTTATCGGATTTGCATTTTCTTTTCATTATTTCCTGCATCCCATTTAATTTTTTATTTTCCTATCTAAATATTATAGGGGATATTTTCTGGGCTTATGTGCTTTCTGTCATTCAATCATCCAGATCTGATGTGCTTTGCAGCTGGTTCCGTTTGCATTCACTCTGATGCCCTAAATATAATCTAGAACAAGTCTTCGGCCTCAGAGAACAAGCAGCATCACGACAACTGAGGGACAATTGGGGCTGAGTCTGCAGTAAATCAGGAGGACTCTTAATTTACTAGTCTATTTACCCTCTAACTTTGCTCTGTGGTCATGAGAGAAGCGTTGGGACCGAAAGCACGAGTTACCAGAAATAGATCTGCTTCAGACTCATAAGAGAGAGGAAGAGAAGCTCACAGTAAAGCGTCCAATTCTCTACATTAAAAGAAGCCAGTTAAAGCGGTTCAGGCGAGGGAGGGGGAGAGGGAATAATTTTTATTGACACACATAGGTGAAAAGAGTATTGTTTTATTAGGAATCAAATCTTTAAAAATATAAAGTACAACATAACATGACAAACCCCCAAACAGCAGAGAAGTGGCACAAACACAGATAATAAACAGTGAAGGTGGCGGAGGAAGTATGGGTGCCGTGGTCTGATGTAAGTGGTTACTGACTACATTAAAGGGACAAACGTGAGCCGGAGATAAGCATGTAAACTGGTGAAGATGTACAAATCTGATAAAGTTTCAGTCATTTTCTCTCTGATCAGAGTCAAATTGCTCATAAACCCCAGTAATAAACTGTCCATACAAATTTAAAAGAAAAATGTGGGGGAAAATCAATAAAGAATTTAACAGGATGGACTGTGCTACAGTGTCTGTGTTTACTGTACTGCATGTGTATCCTGATGAGCAGGAAGAAAAAGGCTGATAATGTAAATATCACAGTGACTGGCTGAACTGCATTGACCACTTCTGTTTTACAGCTACTTTTGATCTGCGTCCCTCCACTCTGCTCCTGCTTTAAAAGGCATACGGTCCAACAAAGATAGAAAGTCTGAGGACGGAGCTGGACCGCTGGCTGACCAGAGGATGGCCCGATATCATCTCCAGGTCCAACGTGTACTCTCTGGGACCCGACACGGCTCGGGCTAGAACCAACATGGCACTGTAGTTATTGGTTTGCTGAAGGGGAGACGAAACAAAAACAAGTTAGTAGAGTTTTACAGAAGACTAACATAAGTTAATGGAAGCTTCTATAAAACATGCAAATCATAATCCAGAGATACACCACTATAAAAGGCAAAGAATGAATTCATATTATATCACAGAAGCATAATCATACAGAAAATGATTGAAAAAGAAAAAAAATTTGAACAAACTTGGAGAACAATTTCTCTATTAATAAACAATTATTAAAAAAAAAAATCTTTGGTACCACACTTTTTGGTTTTCTGTTTACACAAAGCTAGTTGAAATATTGTCATTTTTAATAACAAACAAGTGGCCTACTGCTTTCTTGTAGTATGAATATAAAGTGACCAATTCTATTAAACACTGGCGTCCCTTCTATCAGAAAGAGGATGGTAGTAAAAACAGTAAATGTTTATTGTGTTGTTTTATAAAATGGATTAAGGTTCATATTTTTCTTTAATCAACCTAAAAAAGCTAATAAATATGAGGAAGCCAGTGACCGAAATAAAAAATTTTGATGAAATTATTTAATGAAGTGTATAGGAGATGTAATGTAAAAAAATTGAGAAAAATTTTGAAATGTTTCAAATAAAATGGACAGCAGCCCAACAATACCAGAAAAAAAAATAAAATAACAACTGCAATTATATAATTAAAAATAAATAAATAATAATATAATTTACTGGCCCTGAAACACCAGCATTGAGCCTTATATATTATACTTCAAGGTGGTATTTTCTGAAGTTAAACAACTTTGGCTCATTTACTAAGGTCTGTATTGAGAACAGCAAAAAATATTTCCACTCGGATTGGAATCAACCTCAGAATGGTTGAAAGTTGAAAGAAATGCTTTCCTTTAATGTATTTAAGGCCACTCTTACTCAGTTTATATATGAAGATTTTTTTAGTTCTTTGAATAAGTTGTTTCTTCAGTGTTATGGATATATTTGTTTTCTTTGTTATTAAATATATTGTATATAACCTGGTTGTAGTTGTTATTTTAATTATTGGTGTGTTCTTATCAGGTTTGCTTAAGTCTTTCTTGAAAAAGAGATTTTTTAGTTTCATTGAGTAATACCTGGTTAAATAAAGGTTACAAACAAACAAAAACTTTACCCTTGATTTTAAATGTGATTTTTGAAATGTGATTCTCAATCTTGAGCATTTTAGTGCAGATCTTTCATGTTTAATGAATGATAGAAGAAAAACAACCCACACTTTCTCCTGATATTTCTTTCTAAGACCTAACAGAGTTGGCTTTCAGAGCAGGCCTTTTTTATAGATGATGCTGCACACCCTACGCCCCCCCTTTTCCCCCAGCAATCCTCACCCTGATGTAGAAATCCTGGTTGTTGTCCCCGGACCTAATGCGGAAGGTGTTGACTGACCCCGTCCTGAAGGTGGTGGCCTGAATGAGGAATATGTCTGATGGTACAGCGCGCTCTGAGGTGATAGTCATATATCTGTAGACCACGCTGTAAGGCAGATCTCTGCAGGCAGGCTTGTTATGTGGGCACATACAGCGGCTGTTTACACAGAAAGAGAGAAATACCAATAAAAAGTGCAAAGACATTGATTAGAATTGCAGCAGTTCATTTATCAGCCAGCAGAGGGAGTAAGTTCCTTCCAAAAGATGAAGAACCACTCAGCAGCAACCTTTGTTTTACCAGCTGATTTTCTAACACTCATTTTAAACTCCTGCATTATGTGAGACATGTTAACAGTAACTTCCACCTGTTACAGTTTGTTCACAGCTGTGAAGGTTTTCTTATTGCATTTGAGTATGTTCAAAAGAAAGGCTTGTAAAGCTGGACTCATATATGGAAAAAGTAATTGGTGTAATTTAGCAGTCTGGGCCACGCTTGGCACAGGAGCTGATTATATTCAGAGCTGATGGCCAACACATATTTCAGTAATTAGGAAAAGGTGTGCAAGTGTGTGTTTGTGGACAGCAGAGGCAGACACACAACCTTTCACGAGCCGTCACTCACTTGTCAGAGGCGTGTACGTATGGATCTTGGCATCGGTTGGTCTCCACACACTGGTACCCCCCGTGGATGTTGACGCACGTCTGCGTGTCGGTACACTGATGTTCTCCTGTTTCACATTCGTTTATATCTAATCCAAACAAAACAGCTGGTCAGGTTAGGCTGAGCTGGACCAAAGCGGAGGGGGGAGGGTCATTTCCCAATGCTTACCTTGACACATTCTGGTGCCCACCAGCTGGTATCCTTCAGGACACACACAGGAGAACTTCCCAGGCTCGTTGACGCACTGGAACTGGCAGAGGTAGCTGGAGGACCTGCACTCATCAATGTCTGACAAGGTATAAATATATTCAGGTTTTAAGCTTGTCCACAGATGGCAGCCGAAAAAATAACCATTTTAACCATACATTTTACTAGAGGGGCAAAATGGGGCCTATGTTTTTTTTTTTTTTTATGGAGGCACTAAAAAGAATGAAACAAAAACAGGGCAATAGTTGATTCTTTAAACTATTAAGTGAGCCAAAGAGCCACTTGCACTCATGGACACCTAAGGTTTAGCAGATAAAAACTTGACTCTGTGACAGGTGCTAAAAGTAGAATAATTTAACTTCATATCATTATTAAAGGGAGACTGTGAAAGAAAAAATAAGAGTTATGGTTTTAATATGATAATTAGACACTTATTTAGTATTATGTATTAAGCAAAGGAGCCAGGACTATTTTCACAGGGGATCGGGCCCCTCTTGGCCCCAGTCTAGAACCACCTATGGCTGCTTGTTCCTTACCGTTACACGTAAAGCCGTCAGGCCCGAGCTCGTAGCCCTGATCACAACGGCACATGAAGGTGCCATACGTGTTGAAACACCTTTGGGAGCAGGGGGCACCCATCTCACACTCATTTACATCTGAAAGCAGAGAAGGCACATTTCACTGCGCTGAAGCCTCCAAAAAACACGATTTCAAACTGAACTGATTCCTGGGAAAACACACCTCTCTGCCAAAGAAGCAGAACTCGTAAGAGCAGGTTTTTATAGTAAGCTTGTTGTTGAAGTAAAGAGGATTTATAACATGAGGAGACACGTTTTACTCACATCTACTCAGCTGTTAATTCATTTATTCTGAGTATGCAGCATTTAAAAACAGAATTTTTTTCTGATGTAGAAAATGTACCCTTACTAAACAGTCTCTTCTTTTTAGAGTTTGAAATCTGAAAAGTGTGGCATGAATTGTATTTAAACCCCCTATTTCTTTAAAATCCCAATTTTCGCCACATATTAAACACTTTTTCTGTGATGGTGGTGGCAGCATCATGCTGCGGGAATACTTTCCTTCAGCCTAAAGAGTGTTGGAAAGATGAACGGCGTTCCATAAAGGTCAATCCTTAGAGGCTGAAGACTCTAAATTAAGATTCTATCCATCCATTCAGAACAAATTTAGGATTTGTTTGCAAAGCATCACATGCGATAAAAGCCAATAATTTAGTCTTATTTCTATTTTTACCATTACTAAATCAGTTATGTATTCTAACTTTATGTTAGAAGAAAAGCTAAGGAGGCAGGATTTTTACTTAAAGGTGAGGAATAAAAAATGTCTATTCTCACCAACACAGGATCGGTTGTTTCCTCCCAGCTGGAATCCAGGCTCACACTGACAGGAGAAGGAGCCAGGGACGTTGACACAGCGATGCTGGCAGTACCTGTACCTGCACTCATCTATGTCTGAGGTGAAGAAACACATTAATAGTTTTATTCGAGGAGATCGGAAAATGATCTGGAGCGTGGAGGCGAACTCACCGATGCACTCCGTGCCAACCTTGTTGTAACCACGAGGGCACTGACAGTTAAAGGCACCCAGGGTGTTGATGCACTGCTGGCTGGGCTGGCAGTCGTGTTCCTCTCGCACACACTCATCAATGTCTGTGTGTGTGTGAAGCAGAAGAGGGAAGGATGTTGAAACGTGCTTCTGGTGAGCAAAACAGCCCCGTTCAGTAGCTACAGTGCGGGTGCTCTAGGCCACGGCGGCAGCGTTCACCTCACTTGTACCTAACAGCTGAGAGTATCACGCTGAGTCATGCTTGCTGTCTCATGCAAGTCATAAGCAAGTTTCTAGCTGTTAGTCAGCTTCCAAAAAAATGCAGCAGCTGTCCTCGTGTGAAATCCTCTACATTCCTCTCTTCCTCACCCGCCTCCTGTGGGCTCCCACTCATTCACACCCACACAGATTACACCAGCATGCAGCCTCCATTCCCCACGCCTGCAGCAGCCACCTGTCTCTCACCAATCTGTGGCTACCGACAATCGCTCACACATACTAAGTTACTGATCCTCATCCTGCGGCCACCTGCCCACCTCCAACCCCAAGATGAAAAAACAGACACCCACCCACACAGCTGTCTCCATCGGGTTCATAGCCCAGGGGGCAGGGGTTAAAGGGCACGGTGGGGGTGGTGGAGGGCTCTGGAGCGGGAATGACCGACGCAGAGCGGGGGAGGCACAGGTAGCCCCCGTAGTGGTTGAAGCACTTCATTTCCCCTTTGCAGGCATCTCGGATGGTCTCACACTCGTTTATGTCTGCCAGGAAGCAGAGAAAGATATTTAGTCAGAAAGTGTATAAGATATGGATCAACAGTGAGAAGTGCGGTAACTGCAGATTTTCACCTTTGCAGTGCTCAGTAAGGGGGTCCCAGTGATACCCATCTGTGCATTCCTACAATGAGCAGCAGAGAAAGAAGACTGTGTGAGAAAAAATACTGGAAAAATAAACACCAGAACAGGCTGTATGTGCCAAATAGTTGCATAATGTATTCATTATACATAATAAATCTCCAGTGGTGGAAAAAAAAAAAAAATCACAGCAGGGGGTATTCATGTTAAAGCTGTGAGCCGAAGAGATGTAAATCCATTAAAAGATTTGTGACATTTTAAAAGTCTGTCCTGAAGCCAAACTTTGCTTTAGAAATAAAGTGTTTAAAAGCCCAGTTTGGAAAAACCATTATTATCACTGAGAGGGAAAAATACACCAGCATGACCTGCATGGAAAGAAAGACCAGAGGAGTAAGGGAACATGGTATTAAAACCAAATTTATCCCCAGCAACAACCGCTTTAAAGTCCCAAGAAGAGACATTTATGAGGAACATTACAGAGAGAGGAGAAGAGGTGACTTAAGGCTAACATTTTAACTACAGAAGCCAGCAGTATCACCTGACAGGTGCTGCACTGCTGTATGCTGAGTTTTAGGGGCCCCCAGGGAACAAGGTTCTGCACTGACAAGCAGCTAAGCAAGAAAAACGTTACAAATTTCCACAAGTGATGAGTAAAACTAAAATCTTTCATTCCTAGTTTAGACGTGCAAATAATGGAAAGAGTCGCACTTTAATGGACTTTTAAAGCCTTGAAATTCCTATGATATCTAGTGTGATAAACTTTGAAGATCAACACAAAATTGCTCATGCTGAGGGAAAATCTACAGATTATTTTAACTATTTAAAATAAATATTTAATAGAGGCCATTTTATCTTAACCCTTTTTAGGGCAAGTTACCGTTTTTTTTTTTTTTACTTTATTTTTAATTGTTTTTCTGTTGCAATGAACATAAAAAACAAAACATTACAGCCCATAACAAACAAAACAGTCAGAGCATCTAGTTTAAAGAAAATGACACTATATCAATAAAAAAACTACAAAAAGATACAGACCAGTACAAAACAACTGAGTAAGTGAAAGCGGCAAACATATGGTAGTTTTTACATCACAACAAGTTACCGTTTTAGATACATCTTATTTTGGCATTTGACCAATTAGATGAGCCCTTGAATGATATATTACCTACTGTAAATTAAGTTGGGAAAAAAAAAGCAACAGGTCAAGAAAAAAAAGGTAAAAAGCTAATTGAAAAGTTAAAAAGTTAATAAGCCTAGTTAACAATTATATTTATGTTTATAAACTAAAAATGTAAGTGTTAGTATCAGCATTAATACCTCTAAGGTTATGTTGTACCAAAAAAATGTGTTTCTTTTCCTCTCAGTGTTTTTCATAAATTTCTTATAGAAGCACTTTTGTAATTTTTCTTAATATATTCAAGCAAGTTGTTTCTTGTTATTACATTGACAGTAATTTTTGCCATAAAAATATCCATATTTTTTTAATTTTACAAAGTTGATAAGATCTTGTCCTGGATTCCAATAACACTATTGGCTTGAAAGTATTCAAGCCAAAAAGTATTTTCAAAGTATTTCACTTAATGCCCCATAAAGGCTTAAACCATATTTTTATTTAGCCAAATTTATTCCCTATATTTGCTTCCTTTAAATTAAATTCCCTCACCTCTGTTTAAATTTCCCACAGTTCTTAGTGTTTAAAAAACAAATTTTCACACTTGGGCAAGCTGCAACCAACAATTTTAACTTTTATATAAAAAAATGAAAAATTTCAGAAAGTCAGATATAGTTTGGAAATGTATGCTTCATTTCTGAAAAGTGTGGCATACAATTGTGTTCAGACTTTTTCTACTCTCCACTCCAATACCCCTGAATAAAATCTTGTGAAACCAATTGGCTTTAGAGTTAAACTAAAGGCTAACTAGACTCCACCTGTAAGTTATTTCTTCTCAATTTAATTCCAGCTTTTCTGTGAGGGCGATAGAAGTCTGCTGGTAAAAAAAAAAAAACATAGTCATGAAGACCAAGAAACACAGTTAAAGGTCTGACATTAAACTTTGGATGCACTTATAGCACTGTTGGGTTAAAAAAGTATGATATCTCAATGCGTCAAGATCCCAAGCAGCCTTTTAAAATCCAAATGTACGAGGAAATTTTGGTTCATCCACTGATCAGAAAAGAGACATTTAGTCTGAGGGTTCACTAAGAACATAATCCCCAATCTGAATGAACTTTTTGGCCTGCATGCAAAATCCTAATCCTAACCCTAACTACACATCATCCTCTACCAACCAAATCTACTGTAAAATGTGATCATGCTGTGGGAATCCTTTTATTTATTCATTTATTTCAGAAGAAGCCAGTCAGTGTTGACTGGTGTAGATGATTGAGCTAAATTAGACATATCTCTGAAAGAAACCTGGTCAAAGGTTGCAAAAGACACTTTAACCAGAGGTACCACTGAGCATGCTGTTGTGTGTAAGAATGGGCCATCAAAAATTCAGAAATGAACCTAAAACCTGTGGCAAGACTTCCAACCCCTGAAGACTTGCAGCTGTAAGCAACAATAGCTGGTTCCCCAAAGCCCCGATACAGGAACATCAGATACACTTTTCAGGTTCTTCTTTCTATTAAAAATTTGAAAAATATTTTAAACTTTCCCTCTACTCCACAGTTATGTTTGTCAGTTAAACAAAATCCCAGTAAAACAAATTAAGCCACATGAAAAAGTTAGGTGGGTGAGAAAAAATAAAACTACATAAAACTCAAGCATGTTTTGGCTCCTTGATCAGAAATGTAAAACAACACACATTACTGTGTTTTAACAGTATAAAAAGCCACAACTGTCAGTAACAACATGGATGTACATTAAAAGAAACCAGAGTGGAGAGAAAGGATAGAGATTTGCTTATCCTTACCGTGTAAGTGTGACTTTCTCTATGTGACTGTGAATTTGTGCTGCGGAGGAGCACAGACACACATATGCACACACACAAGACTGGCACACAAGCACCCTGCATACTAATGCACTAACTGATCAGCAATCTAGCAGAAAACATGCACACAAACATACACACACAAAACGATTGTCAGACAGGCAGCTGAGCTGTGAAGCTGACACCCAGGGATGGTCAGAGCAGTCGAGAGGCTGTATCTGAAATATAGAGAGACAGAGGGAGAGGGACATAAAGAAGACACCATTAAAACAAGACATTACAGAATGGTTCAGTTCAACTCAAACTCTCTGCTAAGCTGTAAGAGGAGAAGCCAAATGTGAGGGAGCCAAATTAATAATAACTTTCTTAGAAGACAAACAGTCAGCTTGGTGGACTTTATCCATCGACTGTCAGCTACACAGTTCTCCTTTAATAGCAGCTAAAATAAATGGAAATAATCACACTGCCAGGTCAAAGCATAAACACTGTGACGTACTCTGAGCTTTGGCTAAAAATAACCAAGTCAATACTTTTATTTTCACTGCTTACAGAAAGCCTTCTGTGTCTGCAAGCTGGCAAAGACTTGACTTACTTTTATGTGTTTGAGTTAAGAGGTGGTGGGGGGGGACAGAGACTCTTAAAATCTGACCCTCACTTGCATGTTTCTACGATGTATCACGTTTTGTGTTTGGTGTGTTTATTTAAGCAGCAAAAATGGAAAATTTGCAGCAGCATAATAACTCCTAAAGAAATGTATCTGACAATGCAAGATGGGGCAGACTTGCTGACTGTGCATTACCCCACAGGTTTGTTAAGGGTTCCAAAAAGAAGCCAATTAGACTGGATTAATTCAAATGAAGTGATGCAACACACTTAAGATCGCCAAGTAGAGCGAAAGAGTTGTAACTTATCCAAACAAAGCAAAAGAGCAGCCCGCGTCATAAACCATAGTCCTTTTGCACTGTTTGAGAAGTTTAAAGAAGAAAACTTTAAATTTTTCCTTCCAATTTGATGAAACATTACAACATTACATAAAGTCATTTTGATTTACTTTTTTTTCAATCTGACAAGTTACATGCAAGTTACAAAAGACTTGCAGCTGCAGTTAAAATGAAAGGTTTTTATAAAAAAATATTAAAGTAAAAGTCCAGTCAGCAAGGAATAACCAATGGGTCATTATTTATAGTTCATTTATTTATAGTTCATTTATTTAGGGCGACAGTGGCGTCAGATGTAGGAGTTTGGCCTGAAATTGAAGGATTGACGGTTCAAGCCCCGGCTCTGACTTTCATTGTCTTTGTGTCCTTGGGCAAGACACTTCACCTGCATTCTCTACTGGTGGTGGACAGAGTGGTGCCAGTGTACAGCAGCCCCGCTTCTGTTAGTGAGCCCCAGGGCAGCTGTGGCTACAATGTAGCTTGCCACCATCAGTGTGTGAGTGTGTGCGTGAATGGTTGAATGACTGAATGTAGTGTAAAGCGCTTTGGTCAAGTCCCCTGACTTGAAAAAAGGCACTATATAAGTCCGGGAACAGCCATTTATGCCCAAATATAGTAACACCTCACTCCTGACATCTTACGGCAGTGATGTCATGGTGTCACAATTTTCTCGCTTTACAAGCAAAATCAATGGGAACTACGAGACACATCTGCAATCAACAACAATTATTGAAGATATCTCGAGGACTTCACCATTGAAATTCACAAGAGCTATAGTTAAACTGACAATGCCAACATGCATGGCAGTTGGATGTTGTAATACATTGGGTAAAAGTGAAAAAAAAAATTTTTATTTCCTAATCCACCACAGGTTCGTCGTTGGATTGCCAATTTGAAGAGGGAGGATTTGCCTTTGAACTTCTGGCCAGAGAAAAAAAACATGTCATTAATCCATTACTCTCTGCTTCGCCTAGTGCACTGGACGTCGCCATCGTGGATAATGGCGCGTTTTGACAAACACACAAATACAACACTGGGACTTGCTCAACAGCCGATACCGCACCGTGACGTCACAAACCAGTAGGTGGCAGTAGTGTTGTTTGACAAACATGGATGCCTCCAGTAAAGCATATAAAATGAATATTACTCTTAATTAAAAACAGTATGTAATAATTTCATATTTAAAGTACATTCAGAAGTTTGTATTCTGAATGTGATAATACTTTTCCTTTAACTCCGGAGTCCTTTTGATTAGTTACATTGAATAGCACCTGTAAACAGCACAACATTGGATGTAGGTGTGAACTTTGACTAGACCACACATACTTTGATCTAGACCAGTGGTTTTTAAGCCTGGCCTTCAGGGCTCGCTGTCCTGCATGTTTTAGATGTTTACTCAACTCCAAATGTTGATGTTAATGCAATCAGCAGATGCTTTTATCCAAAGAGACTTACAAAGAAGACACAATTTTACAGTTATCATCAATATGAGAGTAAGTTCTCTAGAGGAAAATCCCTAGTCAGAATCAGTGGTGACAGCAAAGAGAGAGAGGGGGAAGTGCAGGAAGAGTACCGTAGTAGAGAAGTACAGAGGTATGGGTAAGAGGTGACTCCAAAGAGGTACGGGGGCCTGTAACCTTTAAAAGCTGCTGCAATCATCTGATCCAGGTGCAAACTTAAGAGACGTATCTAAAACATGCTGTAAAGTAGGCACCAAGGAATGCACTACTGATCAAGATTATTCCACTGTAGCTCTGTATGTTTTCTTGAAGGATTGTCCTGTTTTCTTCCCACTAACTCTAACCAGCTTCCCCATTGAAGAGAAGTTCCCTTTCAGTTTGCTGTCAAGGCAGGTTTTTTTTTATAAAGATAATTTCAGTAGCTAGGCAATTCCGGCTACAGTCCATGAAAAAAAGGAAACTGTATGTGAAAAAATGCACTACTGTGGCATCAAGATAACTGAATAATTACTAAAATGACTGTTAAGAAAATAATAGGAAAGTTGTACTGAAAAGGTAACTAAATATGTTTAGTCAAAAGGAACTCTAAACAGACATGTTTTTATCTTTTAAAGCAACATTTACAGTTTTACTAAAGATTAACGCATGAATTAGGTTTTCTAGATCCTTTGCCAAACAACTGTAACCTTTACTTGGACAAAATAAAACACTGGTTGACCTAGTTTAATTATGCTTTTTGAAGGTAATTGGTCATAATTGATTTTATTAAGGTAAGCAGAGAAGAAATTGGATTTATATATATATATATATATATATATATATATATATATATATATATATATATATATATATATATATATATATATATATATATAAAGTGGG